GTGGGGGGGGGGGGGGGAGGGGGACTATACTGTTCTTAAATGACCTGAAAACAAAGCTGTGACTTTCTTAAAAATATGTATGCAAAATACTGACATCAATCTGACCTTCTTAATACATATAGTTCTCTGGTATCTCTCATTGAAAGGGACACCTAGCCATGATACTTGAAACTGAAGTCAAATGCAACATTCAGAGCTCCTTAGAAGAAACAAGCATATAAGCATCAGGGAAACAAAAGGTGTTTTCTGTCCCAAACAAAAGGTATTTTCTGTCCCAATACTGTACTTTTTAGATCTTTAATAAAGCTATACTTACAGATGTTACAGAATATAAGTAACAAAAAAATTAAAGTTTTAAAAATATTTCTAAAAAGGGAAAAAGTTATGTAAATCCATATTCTCTTTTCCACAATTCCAAAATCTGTCAATCTCTAAAAACCAAATGTTTGGTGCCAAAACTAATTTGTTAGCAAAACTTAACCTAAATTGACATGAAGCTATTTATAAGTTTTATTCATTCAGTGTGGATGTGCTATTAATGTTGTTTGATTACAAGGTAATTTCCCATACCCCATGGAGATATTATGTAATCAACAGTTCAGATGCTGTATTACTTTTCCAAATCCCCAAAAACAATCTGAACTCTGAAATATATTTGCACTCAAGGCTGCAAATAAGGGACTATAGCCCTGGATTTTCTATTCTCCAAAAGGTGAATTTATTAGTAAGCCTTTAGGGAAAACATACACACACAGGTGTACACACTCACACACATACGTATACTAATTAAGCTATCATTTCTTTGGGGATAGGATGGTGTAAGACATTATGCACTTTCCAAACCTATCTCTAATTCTTACCTGAAAAGTAGATGTTACTATCCCCAATCTGCAATTAACTATTTTATTAGTTAACATATTAGTTAACATAATTGTTAACATAGTTAACAATTAACTATGCAGACTTAACTATTTTGCCCAGCTACTAACAGAAGATAGAAAAGATTCTTCTTGTCTCTAAGGCTTTTTAAATTTTCAAGATTCTGTCTATAGATGATTTCACATACCATGAAGTTATTTTTTTTTTTTAAAGACTCAATTTCACAGAGAAAGTGATCAAGGCACAGGCCATTTTAAGAGACTGCATCATTCTAAAATTTCTGGTCAGTATGGACTTGCACAAAAGTAACAAACTTGACAATAGAGGAAAGCAATTTAACCCGGTAACTCAAACAAAAGCTTTCATTTATGATAATTGGAAAAGAAGGAGAAGAAACAGGGCAATCTCATCTAAGACTAATATTCCTACATTTAATTAACTATAAGGTTTCTTTTTTATTATTATTCATAGTCAAATTGTTGGAGAAGAAAAATTCTAACATTCTTGTCCTCGTTTTTTTTTCTTGTCCTCATTTTAAGGTACATAAAGTTTAAAGAAACTTCATTTTGCAAACCTGACCTTCTTACAGAGCTATCTGCATGCTTGAAAAAAAAAAAAAAAAGCTTAACTGTCCCTTCACACTTTTAAGAAATTTACTCTGTTCAGGTAACAATTCCATGCTCTCCTTTCTTCTGATAGCAAATAAATTAAACCAATGGGGGGAAAAAAACAGAATGTCTTAAATTCATCACTGTATATTTAAAGCTTGCTTTTATATGTAAAGTATAGGTAATGCATCTTAATTTTTTATATTCAAGCTTCAGGGGAACTAAGTAAATAGCATTTATTTGGCACTTCAGATATATTATCTCTAGTATGCACAATTATCCTGTAAATACCATCCCCATTTTAAAGATGAGGGAACTTTAGAACAGAAAATTTGAGTCGAAAGTCCTCATCTAATAAGGTACCAAAACAGGCTTTAAACAAAGATCTGAATCCCAGTTCTTTCCACATCACCTTGCTAACATACGCTTACCTTAGAATAACATTTCCTATGGGGCAATAATTTTCATCCTGGCTATTTGTTCAATATGTAGTATGTTGCAATACTAACAGAAAACCAAATAATGAATCTGGATGATGCTAAAATAGGCCCCAAAATCCTACAATCTTACACTTACTTGCAGTTATTGAGCAAGTTGCTTAACTTCTCTGTGCCAAAACTTCTTCAAATAGCAGAGATAATACTTAAGAATGTAGTAATGATGCTGAAGTAGATTAAAACATACAATGCACTTGGCACAGTATCTGGCATATAATAAACATTCCATAAACATTAGCTATTCCCTACTAACATGAGAAAACACTAGAAGGACATGTTTTGTACCAGGCGACTCCAGCCAGCAGTATCTGGACATCTAATCTGAAACAGTCAATCCTACACTGACTTGCAATCTATGACATGATCTGGTGGGAAAGATGATGTATGCCCATCAGTTTTTCTCTCTCGGGAATCTAAATTAAGAAACAAAGACTGCACCCACTAATAGTGATTCAGAAGTTAAATGGTTTGGCTTCTACCTTCACCAATTTTCTCTCATCAGTGTTACCAAAAATGCTAAATATGTTGCTAACTCTAGTTTTTCAGTCATCCTTTTAATATCATTTGGCAACATTTAATCTGTTCAAAACCATTCTCCTCATTCTCTTTGGAAAGCACTAAAATATTGAAGGCATTCAACACTTAATCCCAAGCCTCTGCTCCCCACACTCTACTCTTCCTCTAGGCAATTTCATCTACACTTACGACTTCAGTAATTATCTCCACGTTGGCTCAGACTTCTCTTACACATTCAACTGCGTTGTCAATCCCTCCACTTACTTGGATGGTTAAATGATACCCCTGACTCCATATGTCCAAAACCAAACATGATCACCCCTCAAACATAGCCAAGATCCCTTCCAGTCCTCCGTATCTCCATAAGTGGATCCAGATGCACAAATCAGAAAATTAGAATATGCCCTGATACCTCCTTTTCCTTCATCCCCATCTTTCACTAAATCCTATTAATTTTATCTCTTAAATATTTCTCAATTTCTTCTTTCCATCTCCATTGCCACCTTCTAAAAGGTCCACCTATATCCACTCTTGTACCTTTTGTACTTTCCACACTAGCCCGTTATATTTTTTAATTTTAATCACGTCATGCTCCTTAAAAGCCCTTGACGGCTTCCTATTATTCCTAAGATTTCTGATCAAAATTCGTATCATAGTATACAAGGCCTACAAGATCTGTTTCAGTTTCTTTTCTCCTCCTATTGCCCTACATGCAGCCATATTTGTCTCCTTTCATTTCCTTAAACACATCATGTTTCCTCCTACCTTATGGTCTTTGCACTTGGTTTCCCTCTGCCTTGACCACTCCTCGTCCTTCTCTTCATTTATTCAATATATCTCAGCTAAAGTAACACTTCCTCAGAGAAAGTTTCTTGAACCCATAGACTTTATCAGGTCATTCAGTTATTCACTTAATAAATATTTAATAATAACCTACTGTATACCATGTATAGTTCTAGACATGTGGGATTGTTAAACGTAACAAAGAACCTTGGCTTTCATGGAGCCTATATTCTAATGGAAGAAAATAGACAAGAAGGAATAAAAATAATAAATGAATTCTACAATATGTATAAATGCAGTAAATCTAGGGGGGATGGGGGGGAGAACAAGAACAAGGTAAGAGAATCACAAACAAAGAGTTTCCAGTACCTAACTTGGCACCTGACATGTAGCTGGCACTCAATAAATTATTTGTTGAGTGGATGAATGAATAAAAAAATGTTATGAGGAACTTAAACTATAAAAAGAATAGAGGAACTACTTGGTGGAAGAAACAGAGATGCCACGAAAGAAAGAGAAATCATGCAGGTCTTGAGAGGTAAAAATCTCTTGAATTATTCTCAACAGCTTTATTTGGCTTCTAGTTCCAGTCACTATATGGTCTTAACATAACCACTATCCCCCTTTCCCACCACCAAAGGCTGAATAATTCAAGTGAGTCACTCTTGTAATGAAAATACCTAATCAGGACACATACACAAGTCTGTGTATATCACTGCCATCACTTACCAACAGACATATCCCCAAAGCCACTGCTTTGCTACACACACAGATATCACTTGTCTTAAAGCTTCAGTTCTTTAGTCCCAGACCCTTTCAGGTACAAACTCCCTCCTACATGCACAAGACTGTGAAAATCCTAGCTCTCTTCTATGACCGTGTAAGACACTTAGGTCACTACTCTCCAAGCCCAGTCAAATTCACAAAAGGGTCCCCTCAGGAATAGGACAGTGGGACCCCCTTCCCAATAGTCTTCCCGCACCTTGAAGACTATCTTCCACCCACAGATATGTGGATATACACTCCCTTGTGATTCTGAATGACCTTCAAGAGCACTGATCCCATATACACTCAAACTCAGGTTCCAGCATCGTTTGGAAAGGTTCTTAAGGACTGAGGCTCTGGGTGTCCCCTCAAGCCTCTTGTCTTTATAGGACCCACAGGAGGATCTGTATAGTTTCTATGTGTTCAGGGGTGACCCTAAGGTACCATACTTACCCCAAAACACACATACTCGGTGTATACACCACTTCCGTGGCACTACCTGATATTAAAGTAACAGTCCCCCCACATACACCTGCCTCCGCATTATAAGAGACCCTCTCCACCAAACCATGCTCCTTTAGGGAGCCCGCTTATGCTTCCACAGGACTGTATACCCCCTACTCCTTCGATCAGCCTCATTTCAGGTGCCGCCTCAGTACTGGAGTCCTGTGTCTTCCCTGGAGTCCCAGCCCTTTTTGGGCCCATGCTCACTTAGAAGTGTGCACAGTCCCGCATACACCTCTGCCGCCCCCGCCAGGACTCCGAGGTCCATGCCCGCCACTCAGAGCGGTATGCACCTCCCCTGACCCCTGACCCCGAGGTCACAGCTCTAAGGCGCAAATACACGGAGCGCCTCCTCAGGAGTAGGGCCATGCCCAAGTCCCCTCTCCCCTCAGAACCAGGACAGCCATGCTGCCTCAAAGCTTCCCCATGATCGACCGCCCTCACAGACCTGCCTCAGGCGCCGTCTGGCTCCGCTCCGCCATTTTTTGTTGTCCCTCCGCCTCTAAGCCCACACGAAAATCGCGGGGCAGTGGGGAGCTGGCGACGGGATCTGCGGGCTGACAGAGCTCCCTCAGGAAGACGCGGCTCGACGGTTGCCAGGGCAACGGGCGGCCCGCGTGCAAGCGGGCAACGCGAGGCAGCGGGGGAAGGGGGGAGGAGAGGTGGGTGCGCGGGGAGGCGGGCTGGGAGGGAGCGTGCGTCGAAGGCCCCGCCCCCGCGGCGCCAGCACTCTTTGGTCTAGGCGCCTGCGGGGCTGGGACTATACTGCACCTCTCTCCGCCACCGAGGCACCGCGTCCTGGCAACTGAGCATGCTCAGCCGCCTCTGGTTAGCCAGGACGAGGTGCGCCTGGATGGCGCTCGCCAGCCACAGAGCGGGTCCTTCTGACCACAGACCTGGTTGGGCTGGCTTTTCTGTGGTTGGCGCTCAGTTTGAGGGGCCTGAGAGGTTTCTTGATTTCCCAACGCGCCTGGCCCTGGTCGAGGTACTGGGTAACTTAGGTTTTCAACTGAAATGCACCGAGAATCAATCATTCTGTGCCCACCCCACCCCATACTTGGGGCTCCTCGCCCTCGCACGACAGCACCAAAAGGGCTTCTCTTTCGCTGCTGTATTTCTCAGTATATTTAGGAAGCCCTTTCCCATCTCTCCGTGGTGAATCGCCACTATCTTCCAAGACCCGGCTAGAATATTACTCTTTCCTGAGCTACTCTGTCCTCCCAAGGTCCTCTGTGCCACCCTGGCCTAACACTGACTACTTTATGCATCATTCACTTCTATCTTCCTTACTTAAGGGTAAGGTGAACTCCCTGTTGCCTGGAGTCAGTCTCTTCATCTAGGTATATTCCATAATACAACATAGTGCTTGACACAAGGTAAGTGCTCAGTAAATATTTGTGGAATGAAAAATGACTCCTAAGTTCACTCCTGTACATCCTACCAGTTTTATTGAGCACTTAATTTTTTAACAAGTACCATTCCAGGTAGGCCCCTTCTCTTCAAGGCACTCGCAGAGATAAGAGGCTTTACATGCCTCATGTAACTAACTTCTAGGAAGTTAGCCCACCAGATAGTGGACATTCAATACATTTCTTAACTGAATAAAAGATGTGGTCACAGAAACAAAAAGAGAGAGAGAGAGAATGGCTTTGGTAGAGGTTAACTAGTCTTTAAAGTGCTACAGGATCATAGAGGTGGAACTTTAAATTGGGAGGTGGTGGGGTAAAACAGTTAAGATTCCAAAGAGGAGTGGATACCCTAGCTGAGTCTTGAAAAATGGATAGTTGTCAGCCAGGCAAAGGAAAGGAGGACTGTGGCAGGCAGAAGGAGCAGCAAGAGCAAGGCAGAGTGTAGGGACCATCTGTTAAACTACAAGAAGTCCAGTATGCTAAAACACAAACTGACAGGACAAAGCCTTATCTCTAAAGAAGCTCCTGTATAGCTAGGTAATGTCTTCAGATGTGTTCCCCAAAAGCAGAGACTGAGGTCAGGACTTGGGTGCTAGTAATTTGCTTGGGATGTAAGCCCAGGAAACAGAAGTGAGGCAGAGAAGTGAAAGAGGGAAGGGTTTTGAGATTGAGTTGATTGCCTTAGTAGAATCCTGGGCATAAGCTCACCAGAGAGACCTTTTGAAAACAGTGTAGAATATGTCTCAGCATTGTCCCACCAAAGAAGAAGGAGACTAGGTCATTTACCTCATGATTTCCATCTTCATTGTTTCATGTTATCTCCAACCCCCAGGTTGAACTCTCATATTCCCTGGTTATGCTTGCCCAGGGCTAAGCAGCCTTATAAGACTTAAAAAGAAAGCCTTGAGGCAGAAAAACAGAAGGACTAGAAAGTACTCGGGGTGGGAGGCTGGCAACAAATTGGAACTACACATTCACCTGAACTGAAATCAGGAATAAGGTGTGGGTACCACGAGAACCTGGGCAAAAAGTTACATGAAAATACTCATCATTGGGGTAAATACCCAGTAGTGTAATCAGCTGGGTCATAGAGTGGCTCTATTTTTAACTTTTTGAGGAACCTCCACACTGTTTTCCAAAGTGGCTGTACCAAACTTGCATTCCCACCAATAGTGTAATAGGGTTCCCCTTTCTCCACAACCTCTCCAACATTGGTTGTTTCTTGTCTTGTCAGTTTTTGCCATTCTAATTGGTGTGAAGCGGTATCTCAATGTGGTTTTGATTTGAATCTCCTTGAGGGCTAATGATGATGAACATTTTTTCATGTGTCTGTTAGCCATTTGTATATCTTCATTGGAGAAGTGTCTGTTCATGTCTTCTGCCCATTTTTTGACTTGATTATTTGTTTTTTGAGTGTTGAGTTTGAGAAGTTCTTTAAAGATCTTGGATACCAGCCCTTTATCTGATACGTCATTTGCAAATATCTTTTCCCATACATGGGCTGTCTCTTTGTTTTGTTGACTGTTTCCTTTGCTGTGCAGAAGCTTTTTATCTTGATGAAGTCCCAGAAGTTCATTTTCATTTTTGTTTCCCTTGTCTTTGGAGACATGTTTTGAAAGAAGTTGCTGTGGCTGATGTCGAAAAGGTTACTGCCTATATTCTCCTTTAGGATTTTGATGGATTCCTCTCAATTGATGTCTTTCATCTATTTAGAGCTTATCTTTGTGTATGGTGTAAGGGAATGGTTGAGTTTCATTTTTCGATATATAGCTGTCCAATTTTCCCAGCACCATTTATTGAAGAGACTGTCTTTTTCCATTGGATCTTTTTTCCTGCTTTGTCAAAGATTAGTTGACCATAAAACTAATGATATACTGTATGGTGACTAACATAACATAATAAAAAAATTACCTGGGTGGCTCAGTGGGTTGAGTCTCTGCCTTCGGCTCAGGTCATGATCTCAGGGTCCTGGGATCAAGTCCTGCATTGGGCTCTCTGCTCAACGGGGAGTCTGATTCCCCCTCTCTCCCTCTGCCTGCCTCTCTGCCTACTTGTGATCTCTGTCCATCAAATAAATAAATAAAATCTTTTTTAAAAATTACAATTAAAAAAAGAAAATACTCATCAGAAATATCCCTCATATTTGAGTAGTTTAAAAACTCACAAGCCATGTCACCACAACCATCAAGATGAAAATAGACAAGCTTTCACAAATCAATCCTAATGACTGACTGATAAAGGCTGTGAGGACTATAGGAATTTCAGTATGGGGGCGGGGGGTTACTGAGGGCTAAAGACCACAAAAGAGCTTCATTAGGTATAGGAAAATGGGGGAGGGTGGTTTGAGGACCCAGCTTCTACTCAAATTCTGACTTTATAGCTTTATAATCTGGGGCAAATCACTTAAATAGACATTGAGCATCAGTTTCCTTTTCCAACAATCCTGAACAGCCCTTCCTTCCACACAGAGTGCTCTAAGTCACAAGTGGTGGGACAGGTTAAAATGCATTTAATAAGTGTAATTACAGTAAATAAAAAACCTGGCATGTTTTAGAATAATTAAACCTTGATTACATTTTCTGAGCCATTCTCTGTGCAGATACTAGCATTAACCTTAAAAATAAAACTTCCAGTTATTTTATCAATAAAAACAAGTTTATCCAGAAATAGCAGAAAATTGCAATCTGAGACAAATGAACTGTAGCAAAACCATAGAAAGGGCAAGGCCCAGAGCAAAGGAGAGATACACTCTCTTGTATAGAAAAGGAAGGAAGTTGGGAAGGCTGTTATAAACATAAAGTCCATTGGAGTAAACTAGGAGTCTCAAGTATAGTGGCTTCTCATTGGCTGCTTTGTGACTGTTTCTCATTGGCTGAACAGTTGCCAGGACTGAAGGAAAGCCTTTCTTACTAACCCCTGTGGGGTTAGTAAAATAATATTCACCTGGGAAGCTCCTCACATCCTGTAGGTATGCAATTGTCACGGAGTGCTGGGCTTGAGAGCTTCCCCAGCCCACTTCCTGACTCCTTTCTAAATGAATTTTCCTTGTATTAATTTTCACACTGAAGATAGAGATGAATAGAACACTGTCTATGGTTTCTAGGAGCTCACAATCCGGAAGGGAAAAGAGATTTAATCCATAATTATAAGACTGCATGATCAGGGTTTTAATAAAAGAAAGTATGAGAGGTGGTAGGAGCCCAGAAAGAGGCACACAACCCAGCCTGGAGCAGAGGAGATAGGTAAAGGTATATTTAGGAAAAATTCCTAGAGGAGAGTTTCTGATCTAACTCTTAAAGGGCAAGTAGGAATAAGCTGGACAAAGAAAATAGTGGTACATGGGGAAAGGGTGGTTGAGGCAACAGGAACAGCTTGGGCAAAGCAAGGGATAGTGTGTCTGGGGTAGATAGCAAGGCTGCATCAATAAGTAAAGACAGATTCTGGAGAACTCCTATATGGGGAACTTGATCCTGAAAGTGACAGAAACACATTAACAAATTTCTAAGAAGGTCAGGGCCCTGGTCAGCTCCTCTGGTTGCTGTGCAGAGAGTTGATTAGAGCCCAGAAAAGAAGAATTGGACGGTGCTGTTCTATACAAATGTGTTTGTTGACATTTCAAATTATCATTTGATGAGAATTTTATGTGCTACATACACTGCACTGTTCAATTTAAATTTTAAGTAAAATTAAAAATCAACTAGTCAGACTAGCCACATTTCAAGTGCTCAGTAGCCACCCTATATTGACAGCATATATAGAGAATAGTCCCATCAGTGCAGAGAGTTCTATTGGACAACATTGATAGACATATTCCAACTGGGCAGAGAAAATAAAATGCCTAGAAAAATTCAGCACTGAAAAAGACCAGGTTCAGTTCTCTCCTGTGTGTCAGCTTCTCTTTAAGAAGCAGGGCAGGAAGGAGGGTCGACTTCACACCTGCTGAAGTCCTCAGAGACTTCCTTCTAGTATAAACAGCACAGCATGAGGAGAGGGTTATACATGCCCCACCACGTGGACTCCTTGGAGTCAGTTTTCCCATGCTATCATTCAAGGTGTGCCCAGGAGGTCTGCCTTCCACAGGAATTTCCTGAGGTTTCTTACCTCCACAAACAGCCACCCACCCACCCTAGAGCCAGGGTTCCTTCCTTTTAACAAAATATTCCCTGTAGGATTCACCAACCTCTGTAAACTTTTATTAAAATGATGCCTTCCATGTGCTTATCACTGAGTTAGATACAGGATGGGAAAGAA